CTTCTTCTTCCACTTGTTAATTTCCAAGAATCGAATGTTCGAACAGTTGACGTCATTCACCTTCTTTTCGATCAGGTGCACTCTTTAAAATATTATCACCAGCATTTTAAAGTTGTTTTTTTGCTGTAGGAATCAGGGGAGCAGTCTTAACCCTAAAAAAATATTGTCAAGATAAGTATGTAAAAATAAAGGAGTTAGAAAGAAATAACACACACACACACGCACGCACACACACACACATATATATAATAATTATTTTACAAACATAACATCAAACATCAAAAAATACGAATTTCTCAACTCTAAATTGATTTTTTTAAAGAAATTTTTGACTGGATTGTTGTGAACAGCGTATATATTTATGTATATCAAGTATGCAATATAATTGCGGTATTAAAAATGCTCTATTTATAGTAAAATTATACTTACTTTGAAAGCATGCCCTTCTCATATGCACTGCATGATGAGCCACCAACATTTAATAACTTCTATTTCTAAATTCAAAAGATAACACTAGGGTAATTAAATGGGACAATTTAGTGTAAGTTATATTGGGCATAAAAGCAATACATTAGTGTTTTAATCAATTTGAAAATTTTGTGTAAATTATGTTTATTTGTAAAGTGAGCATTATGTATATAATTACAGATCAAAATTTTTTATGTAATTTATGATAGTAATTTACCCTTGAAAAGAAAACTAAACATTTAACCATAATAAAAAATATATGACTTTTTGCAACATTTGTATCGAGAAATGATTGATCACATTCAAGAAACTTGGCAATAGAATCACACTAGTAAAGATCAAAACTATTATCAACTTTAAACCTTTTTTATATTTCATTATTCTTAAGATAATGAATTCTTAAGTAAATAAATGAATGAAGGACTATATATTAATTAATTAAAAAACAATATGCTATTATAATTTTTATATATATATATATATATATATATATATATATATATATATATATATATATATATATATATATATATATATATATATATATATATATATATATATATATATATATATATATATATATATATATATATATATATATATATATATATATATATATATATATATATATATATATATATATATATATATATATATATATATATATATATATATATTTATATATATAGTACATTTTCGCTTCCAACAAGGCTGCTAGCAACCACTATAAGAGTTTGGAAGTTACTGGAAGAGAAAAGATATAATTCGTAGTGCAAGAAAATTATTGACAGATGACTTAAAAGATTGCAAATTATATGAATCAGGAAAGCAAGATGAAGGAAGCAAATTCCAAAGAACTGATGTTCAAAGAAAAAAACTAGAGGAATAAAAATTTTCAGAGCACTTAGGAATAGTCACAGAAAAAGGATGAGGCTTGATTGAATGGCAAGTGACACGAGAATGAATTTTAGTAGATGAAACAAGGGATGCTAGCTCTTTAGAGCAGCGCTCATTATATTATTTGTAGATAAGAGAAAGAGAAGCAACATCATGACAATGTGACAGTGGTTGGAGATTGGCTGCAAGAGCAGGTCCAACTATGTTTACAATGCGTTTTTGCACCTTATCTAAAAAAGAAAGGGCATCATTTGAATATCTGCCCTAGATATGGCAACAGTATTCCATACAAGGACGGATTTGAGATTTATAGAGATAAAGAATAGAATCAGGAGAAGAAAGTGTCAAGCTCGATAAAGAGATGCAACTTTAGCAGATGATAATTTTGCAATGGATTTGATATATGGTTCAAAAAAAAGATCAGAAGTAAAAGTTAATCCTAGAAGATGAAGGGTAGATGACTCATCTAGTACATTATCATTCATAAATATAGAAAGATCTAAACTATTGCAATAACAATTGGACAAAAAAATTGAGTTTTATCTGAAATAAAGTTCACCAGCCATTGTGAGCCCCATGCTGTAGCAGAGGTGAGATCTTTTTCAAGCTCATATACCCCCTCCAATCAGAGAGTGTAGGCTTCTTATCATGACAAGAATAAATGGTAGTGTTGTCAGCAAACAATGGCACCTTGGATGTGAGAATATCTGGAAGATCGTTAATGTAAATTAAAAAGAGTATAGGGCAAAGGATTAAACCTTGAGGAACCCCTGAAGTTACAGGATATGAAGAAGAGTGTATATATATATTGTTGTCCATCAAGGACAATACTCAATATATATATATATATATATATATATATATATATATATATATATATATATATATATATATATATATATATATATATATATATATATATATATATATATATATATATATATATATGTATATATATATATATATATATATATATATATATATATATATATATATATATATATATATATATATAATCAGGCTTCGGCAGGAATGACGGGCTATAGCCCGTGTCCGTCTCCGCACCCGTCTAAGTCAATTTAGACGGGCGAAATAAAGCCCGTCTGAAACATAAGTTTTGTGTAAAAAAAAAAGATGAATATTTTGATATTTTTATTAAGATACTCTTTTAAAACTTCTCTCATGACATAATTTTAATATGGATAGCAAACTCCAACTTATAATTGTTTATATTTAAATATAAAAATTAAACAATTTAATCATTATTGTATAACCTGATGTAGAAAATAATATAACTAAATCTTACAGTTTTTTAAACGACGATAACTGTTTGACGTAATATCAAACAGTTACCATATTATGTTCAAAATTTAATAACTATTATATTAAATAGGGAAATATACACATGTGATACACAAAAAGTATCATGTTGTTTTTTTGGTTTTTCAATGTTTATAATAATAACGATAATAAACTAATTATCCATGTATTTCGCTTTTTTCCGATAAACTAGTTTGTCTTTCTTTAAAGACATTTAAAGTGATATTTCCGCGTTAACTTCCGCTTTAACTTCACGTTTTTTCTTAAAGAGATGGCAGTTTATTTAATATGCAATTATATAACTCGTTATTGAAAATGAAATATCTCATTAAAAATCAACAAACGTCTAATCAATTTTTGTAGATAATATAAATAGTGTTGCTTTATAGTTATGAAGTTATTCAAGTTATCCAGTCATTCAAGTTTTTCAAGTTATTCAAGTTTTTCAGTAAAGATAGTAATGGCATCATCTGGTAGAAGAGTTACATTAGCAACATTTTTGAGTTGGGGTAAAGATGGAGTCTGTGGAAAAGAAACTGAGGTGGAGAATGGAACAATTTTTGTTGTGAAGATATGGTGTATGGTTTGTATAAAATATAAAAAAGAATTGCTTCGCGAGTTAAAAGGTCTGGCAAAATCAAAAGCATTAGCATTTATAGAGGGCACTACGAACGTTAAAGCTAGCAACATACATACGCTTATATACATGCTTATATTGTATATAAAGTAACGGAAGCCCCGGTATCTTAAGAAATTATTAGTACTTCTAAATAAAAACTTATTTTATTAAAAGAAATTAGATTTCAAATTTTTTATTCACGTATCAGAATAACTATTTCCGATCAGGATAGGCATAGGTAAAGCAAAGTTATAAAAATATAAATAACAGTTTAAGTTTTTAATTTGCACGCCCAATAGAATGCAAGAGTATATAAATAATTCAATTTGAAAAATAACATAGTTACGTATCATATTACCAAGCTAACACCAAACAATTCTAAAACTATCGAGCTCATTGATTCAAGGTTAAAAAAAAAAAAGATTTCAAACTATTTGCTGAATAATTAAAAAAATTAGATTTTGAAAATATTATGTAATATTTTTATTCACAAAGAATAAGAGAAACGAATGAACTAAAAAAGCACGATAAAAACCTGTATAATTTAATCGAATACTTAAATAAAACAATAATATATAAATATACTCAAAAAGACTTCGGTAAAAAAACACGTTAGGATGCTTGAATAAGGAAACGTGATGTTGTTGGTTGTTTCGAGGATTTTTCCCGTCGTTTTCACGTTCATTCGTTTGACTATATCTGCCAAATATTATCTGGAATAAAGATTTAAAAAAAACAACATAAAAAACTGAATAAAGTTCCTTCGAGTAAGAAATTTAAACAAAAGCAACCATAAAACAACTAACCCACGTGAAACGAAATTATATCTGTGCAAGTGAAAACTTTGAAAAACAATTATTGAAATCTTAGTTTTAAGTATTATCCAACTCATTTACGGCAGTGTTTTAATTACTTAAGTAATTAAGCATTTTAAACAGTTAATCGTTTTCTAACATATTATTTTAGTGCAATTCACAAAATGTTTAATATTCAATGACATTTTCATTCAAAAAGAGAAATTAACAAATTTAAAAAAAAAAAAGTTCTAACTTTAGAATTTTTTTTAAAGCTTAAAAAAGCCCGTGCAAGACCATCTAGACGGGCGGCCCTCATAGCCCGTCAAGTCTATTTAAGACGGGCTTTTCATAGCCCGTACGGTTTTTATTCCTGCCGAAGCCTGTATATATATATATATATATATATATATATATATATATATATATATATATATATAAAATATATATATATATATATATATTATTATATATATATATATAAATATATATATAAATATATATATATATATATATATATATATATATATATATATATATATATATATATATATATATATATATATATATGTATATATATATATATATATACATATATATATATATATATATATATATATATATATATATATATATATATATATATATATATATATATATATATATGTATATATATATATATATATATATATATATATATATATACATATATATATATATATATATATATATATATATATATATATATATATATATATATATATATATATATATATATATACATATATATATATATATACATATATATATATATATATATATATATATATATATATATATATATATATATATATATATATATATATATATATATATATATATATATATATATATATATATAGATTGGTTTTGAAAATGAATCGACTATTAAAGATATTGAATTAATTGGAAAAAGTGTTGTATTTTACTTTGACAAGGTATTTTGATTTATTATAGTTATTTATAATAATTTGTGATTATAAAGTTTATTATATTTTATTACAGCTGTTAATTATTGTTAAATCTGTTTGATTGGTTAGATAGATGGTTTAAACTTACGAACACACGCAGTTGAAAGTGTATTTTTTCTATAATAAATTTTCAAATATAATAGGATTAAACAAAACCTAACTCGCAAATTTTATGCAAATTTATTTATTTTAAAAGACACACACGCCGTTGAAATAACACTTTTCAAGAAAAAATTTCTGATTTAAAAATCCTATTACAAGCGGCTCTTAATTGAGTAAATTTTAGAATTTAAATCTCTATAAATAAAGTCAAATGTTAAATGCATTATTAATAATAATGCATTATTATGCTAGCTTTATTAGAAGACCTCTCAGTCAAAAAATCAGAGTGTATATTTTATTTGTTGACCATCTCCGCACCCCTTTTTTATCTATTAGGCGGGTGTATATGTATTTATAAAACATATTTTTTAATTCATTAAGTCAAATGCTGGATCTTTTGACTTATTTCATGGGTTTTGCTTGTGTTTTTATGACTGGGCAACTTACTCTAATATCTTCTAGTGAGAGTACATCTTTAAAGTTCAGTTTATATTTCTGAGTCCGGCTAAAAGTCAGCTTTTCTGAACACTAACTGTGACAAAATTTGAATCTTATTAAAAATTTTATCTTCATCATGTAAAACCATGATATTTTGAAAAATAAAAGTTAATACTCAACGAAATTATTTGTCACTAAAAAATGTATATTTATCTATTCTAATTATTTTTGTAATTGTCCTATTTTATTATTACTTTTTGTTTTTAATTTTCAAAAGTACCTACTAAAACTTACTAAACCTTTAAAGATGACACCAAAAAGATTATAGTTATAATCTTTTTCATGTCATCTTTAGTAATGTATGTTCCTTTAACATGTCATTTATTAGTTAATAAAATTTTTAAAATTATATCAAATTATTTTTGACTTGTTTTTTTTTTGCGTAATTTGCTTGTCATTTATTTGAAGTGTTATAAAGGAAAATCATCAAATAACTATTATAAGTATTAATAAATGTTGATCAAAACTCTCTCTCTTTCTCTATCGAAGATTACAGTTATTATAAAGTATCAGAGTACTAACAGTGCCATAAAAGTCGACTAAAGATTTAAAAACTACAAAACACAAATAACCATTCTTATCACTTGATTCTCATTAAATTTATTGTTCACTAATATTCCTGGTCTTTGAAGTAACTTTTCTTCTGTAAAGTTTTATCTGTTGCAAAGTTCACCAGACCTACTTGCTATTAGTGAGAAAATTAAAGTTCAGCTGTTTCATCTTGTGATCTTAGTGTTGATGGTTATCTTTCTTTGTAGAGACTCTATAGTCCCATTCTTGACCTAGGCATTTACAATCGTAAAAAATTACCCATTACGAAGGAAACTTGGCTTGAATCCACATACTATTTTTTTTATGTGTTTTTGTTTAGCACCATTTTACTTTATTACCTTTTCTTCGTTTTAAATTGCTTTCCTTTACCTCAAGCCCGCACCCTTTTCCATATTATATTTAATGAAATTCGCCAAGCTCTTTCTCATTATACTTCAGCCAGTATCATGTTGTTGGTTACTTTAATGCTCATCACACTAAATGGCTTCGTTCTAGTGTCAGTGACTCTGCAGGCCTATAAATTTTAACTTTCTCAACCTCTAATAAAAATAGTCACCTTTCAAACTCACTTTCTTGACAATCTAAAATATTTACTTTCTCTACTCAACTTACATCTTATTTCTGATTACAGCAGTAGTCAGTTTCTCCATATGTACCCTTTGGTACTTCTGAAAACGGTTTAATCTTTCTAAAAATATTATCTCATTTTTCTTCATTATCAGAATCCCTCTATCATCGTGTCCCTTATAACCTTAAAACTGACGGGGATTCATTCTGTAATTTTCTTCGCAATCGCACTTGGATAGAAATCATTTGTCTTCTTGCTAAAAAATGTGCAATATATCCAATATTTTGGATTCAGGCTGGCGTTAAATCTTTTATTCCCTCTCAATGAAATTAAGTTAAGCCTCATTTTTCTCCATAGTTTTCCCGTACTTGGGCTTCAGCAATTTTTTCTATATAAATCACCAAAACAATTATTTAGAAAATAGACATCTGTTTATTATTGTTTTTTATATAGGTTTTGTGTAACGCTGATGTCCGATATTCTCAGGTCCAAAAAATTTGTACTTCATCTTATAGTTAGATTTAGGAGACTTTTGGAGAATCTTTGACAGTGGCTATAGTAAGAGCAAATCTGTTATTCCATCTCTCTTGCATGTTTTAGGTTTCGTTATCTCATCTAAAGACAAAGCTTAATTCTTTACTAAAAACTTGATTCCACTAATCACATCCCACCTGATCCACCAGCGAAACAACTTGATCCAATGCTTGACATTTAGATCACACCAACTTCGGTATCTAAAATGATTTCCTGCTTCGACTTTTCTTCAACTTGTAGTCTGGAAAATATACCTGTTATAGTCTTGCAGAATTATTCTCCGATTTAATAATTGTTTAACCGTTTAACAAGTGCTTATCAGAGTCTTGTTTTACAGTCTGCTGGAAAGCAGTATCATTTGTCCCTCTTTTCCGAAATTCTGGAGAGCAATCTGACTTGTCTAACTAACGTCCTTTTAGTATTCTTTCTATTATAAGCAAGGTTTTAAGTCTTTGATTAAAAAACACCAAATATCTCATCTAGAATTGAATAACTTAAATTTGAAAGCCAGGATAGATCTCAATCTTCTCGTTCTATTGCTGATTTATGATTGGTAATAATCGATAGGTATTATTTTGCATAAGATAGATGTGGAAAAACTAATGTTATCGTTCTCGATATTTCTAAAGTCTTTATTAAAGTTTAGCATGCTGGTTTTCTCCATAACCTTTCTTTTTTTAGTGTGTCAGGTAACATCTTTAAGAATATTGTTAATATATTATTATTTAATTATTTAATATATTATTATATCTTTCTGTACCAATTGTAACATATAAATTTTACCAAATGGACAGCACTCTTCTTCATTTCCATTAAATTCAGGGGTTTCTCAAGGTGCTTAACTAAAACCTATACTTTTTTAAGTTTACATTAACAATCTCCCAGATATTCTCACATCTAAAAAAGAATTGTTGGCCAATAATATTACCATTTATCCTTCATTCATTTACTTCCGATCTTCCTTTAAAACCATATATCAAATCCATTGCAAAATCGTAACATCTCTCAACATTTTATCGTTTTCGGTACTTCTTTATCTCAATAAATCTCAAATCCGTCCTTGTATAGAATACTTATGCCATATCTGAAGCGGGTCTTTTGAATCATGCCCTTTAATTTTAAGACAAGGCGCAAAATTGCATTGTAAACATAGGTAGGTCTGTTCTTGAAGTCTTTAAACATTGTCACATCATCGTAATGTTGCTTCTCTTAAATATGTATTCTCTTTTTTCAATAAATAACATTACGGGTATTGCTAAAAAGAGCTAGCCCCAGGCTTGGACGGGAATGGCGTGCGATCGGACGCTGTGTTTGACCACGCACATATTAACAATGTTTTGAAAATAAAACCACGGTTGCTTTGATGTTTTCACTAATAAATACGTTTTTTCGGCCTATGGGAAATGCGTTAAAATAACCAAACTAAATTAAATTATAGAGAACAATTTAAAAAATATGTATTTTTTTTTTTTACACATTTCCAACGAAAGAAGAGAAAAGAAAACTAAAACTGTAAAAGTACTAACTCAAAGCGACAATTATTTTAAGTTACGTTAGTTAACGTTAGAAATAAATGACTTTTATCTTTTGTTACTTTATTTTTTGCAAACAAGTTAAACTATTGAATCGCTTTATTGCTACAACGTTTAGGTCTTTTGTTGTTGTCAGGCTGAGCGTTAATACATTTTTCCAGCAAGAGTTCAGTCGTAGCTAGACCGCTGAATAAACGGTCAGAATAGGGCTGTTATACCTTGATATATATTTTTTTAATCAAGTCCGTTGGATTATTAATCAATAAGCTTTATTTTATAAATTTATATTTCTTCTTAGTTGCATTTTTTGAATCTGATAAATTTTGTTATGTATCGGAATAATAATTATTTAATAAGATTTTTCTTAATTTAAATTTTGTTTAACAATTAATTCGTCACTTTATTTATAAGTGCTTCACACTATAATTTTTAAGTTTTTTAATAAAGTTTCAAACTTTTTGATGTCGTAATTTAAAGTAATAAATAAAATATTCGTTTAAAAGGTTCATAAACATTGCATGACAAATAAAAATACTTTTTAACTTTTACATTTATCATACACTTTTATCGTAAGCACTTATCATGCAAATCGTTAGTTCTCTCTCGCGGAAATTCTCATTAAACATAACGGCGTAAACATTAGACGTTACTCTTTAAAATCTTTGCGCAAGAGAGCAAATGCTTTTTAAAAGCATTGGTTCTCATGCGCAAAGACTTTAAAGAGTAACGTCTATTGTTTACCTGCTTATGTTTAATGAAATCTCCGCGAAGGAGAACTAATTATTTGACAAGGAATTAGTTCAACTTAGCGTGACGGTAGACTTTGTGGATGGAAAAAAAATGTTATAAATAACATTTTTAAATATTTTTAATAAAGCGTCTAATTAAAATAATCGTTACAAACACTTAGTAGATTTATTTTAAAGTTTCGCATGTAAAGTTTTAAAAAAAAATTATTAATTCCTACCGTTTATCAGAAACAAAATATTCGTTTAAAAGATTTAAAATAAAAACATGGAAAGGTATATTCTAACGTTTACATTAAAAAAAAAAAAAACATGCTTATAAATATAATAATGCAAAAAAACTAAGATATTCTTTGGTGATATAAACGAAATGAAAGTAATCCTTAGAAGTAATTTTCACTTTGTTTAAATGCCTTCACATAATATACAAACTTA